CAGAGGGCTGGTCTGCCACACCTGAGCTCCTTCACACTGCAGGGGGACAGGAAGACAAACCTTCAGCCATGTGGTGAAGCTCACTGACCTATGACCCAGCATACTGTCCCTGTGTCAGTGTTCACTTCAGTCATGGGATACAAGCGGTGGAACAAAGCCCCACGTACATGCAGTGATGTGTGGAAGGAACGTGAGTGAGGAGGAAAGCATCTTTACCCAAACTAAAGAGCAGAGCACGAATACAGGAAACACACCTGTGTACAAGCTGTAGCTGTTATCTGAGCCTAAATATTGCAGGTCACAGACCGTCACGGTGCTAGGTCTAGGCTGCTGGGGCATTCCCATGATGCAGTGGGTGTTTCTTCTTCACTATCAATAGTCTTAATAGACCTCTGTACTGAATCATCCTGGTTATTAATAGGTTTCTCTTCCACAGCGTGTCTTTATCCAGTTGTCCTTCCCTTATATGGAATCTATACTTTAAACATGAGCTAATCTTAAAGCAAACGTTCAGATCATAGCAGTGTAAAAGGTGCCGCACAGGTTCAACATGGAGACAGGTGTGTTTGATGTGTTTTAACATTATTGTGAATAGAGATAAATATCCAAACACAAACAGCCGCGGGTCTTCTGGCCTTTGCAGTGACTGCGTCCTTTATGAGCCGTCACAGGAGTTGATCGTTAGCTACAGACGCTCCGCTGGCTCACTGTGTGGTTTCAACACTTACACACGGGTTTGTGTCACAGCTGCTTTTGGTTGATTAAAGTGAAGAAACGTTAACACAGAGCCGGTCAGACCAGTGAGTCCGGGCTGTGACCCGCCGTAGTTCATTTAAGGTCGTACGCTCTCAGATGTTATGTGTGGCCCTTAAAAGAGCCGTTATTATCAGCGCGCTTCTCCCGGAGCTTCATTTCGCCTTGTCAGTCTTCTTGGGGAGCAGCACGGCCTGGATGTTGGGCAGCACGCCGCCCTGAGCGATCGTCACTCCGCCCAGCAGCTTGTTCAGCTCCTCGTCGTTGCGGACGGCCAGCTGCAGGTGGCGGGGGATGATCCTGGTCTTCTTGTTGTCGCGGGCGGCGTTTCCGGCCAGCTCCAGGATCTCAGCCGTCAGATACTCCAGCACAGCCGCGAGGTACACCGGGGCGCCGGCACCAACACGCTGAGCATAGTTACCCTTCCTCAGCAGCCTGTGGACACGGCCCACCGGGAACTGCAGCCCGGCCCGGGAGGACCGAGACTTCGCCTTCGCTCTGGTTTTTCCGCCCTTTCCGCGTCCAGACATCTTTGTAACTGACTTCGTCCTATTCCCGCGAGAACATGGACTCCGGCAGAGACTACGCGTTTATATAATCACCTGCTGCTCGCTCATTGGTCAGACTGAGAGTAAGTCTAATCGTCCAATCAGGAACGAGCAGCACTGCGGTTTCTTTGGTTTTTGCGTTGTGTGATTTTCAAAATAAAAATGAAGTATTTTATTTTTATATGGATGACAATTTTAAGGCAAACTACGTCAAACACATCAGTATTTACAGCCTAAGGTACTTTACCATGTTCATCCAAATGGAGAAAATCAACTGCACATAAAAACACAAAAATATATAATAACAAAAACCCCACAAAGGGTGTAAACGAACAAAGCCCACAGGACACAGCAAACAGCTCACTGTGCTG